TCGCGACTCGTGCAGTCGGCACCCGAATCAGGTGCAGCGACAAAATACTATTCGAGTTTCGGCGATCGTTCGGCAGCTTCGACGAGACCCGACAGCTCATCACAAAAAACACCAAATGGGCGCCAAATACGGCGGTCCGTACCCACTAAAGGAATCAGTCACGAAGCACTAACCCCCGAAAGAGTTGGTCTCGCCGACGAGGGCAACTCGCCCTTCGTCTGAACGGCTCGCCCGAACGTCCGGCAGCTCAGCCCTGCTCTCGGTAGAGGGGCTGGTTCCTTGACGGGTCGGAGGTGTTGATGCGTTTGGCGGTTAGTGAAATAATACGAGGTGGATACTATACATTCGAATTTTTATTCGACGGTAGCAATTTACAGGTGTGTGGTATCTCGGCAGCTACAATACGATAAAACAATGGCCAAATATTCTTTCCGCTACACGGCAGCGATTCTCAATAATAATAATTCAGTTATCCCTGTTCGCGGTCGCGATGCTGGTCTTCGGCAGCTCAAATTTCCGAGTCGTGATCGCGAAGGTCACGACAGCCACGTAGGCTTTCGGCGGTGTGCTCGCCCGGTATATCGCGTACGGCGGATAATTGGCAATTATTCGGTCGGGTTTTTCACACAATACGCGGAGCTCCTCCTTTCGCGAGAGGAACGCGAACCCTGGCCCTCGCCCAGGGTGGACGGCCGAGGCCCAGACGCCGCACCGCTCCGCGACACCAATTACTAAAGAGATAGTCTGTTCGTTCCTTCTAGAACGGACTCACAAAAAAACAGCGGAGCGGGGCAGTCGGCAGCAAGCAACGGCGGTCCCCTCTGGGTTTACACTAAAATTCGTGCCCGCGCGGTAGCTGCCTTACGGATGCCGAGGTCGAGTCGTCTTCGTCGTCAGTTTCGTGGATGGCACGTCCTTTACACTATCCGTGGTCACGGCTAATCGAACAAGCTCCTGAGCGATCGTTGGGACCTGGTTTTATCCCAGGTTTGAATCGCTTGCTCCGACAGCTATCGGCCGTTGATTGGCCGATTTACAGGATCGAATCCCCCATTTTTCGGCTTTTGTTTTTCGGTAACTGTTGTCGTCTTCCATTTGATCCTTTCCAGCCTGTTGGCCTCTCCGACCTTGGAGCTTCGTCATATCGGTAGCCGTCGTTTCCTCAGTCCCCGAGCCTCGCAGCGTCTTCGCTTGGCTCGGAGGACGCTCTGGGTCGCGGAGGATGTGCTCGTCGGACTCGCCTTGGCTGCAGCTGTCCTCCGCTCGTCCGCGGTGTCCGTCGACTCCGTCCTTGCGGCTCCCTTGCGGCAGCTCGGGATTGGTCCACTTCCGGCAGTTCTTTCTCGACGTTCTCCTCGTTAGTTGGATGTCGGCTAAAACAAGCTTCCTTAGAGTGGCTTCAACTGTTGGTCCTTAATTACGCATAACAATAATAAGGGAGCGATTCACTTGGGATATTTGGTCCGTCCGATGCTCCTCGTCAGGATTCCTCCTCTCCCACGGCGGCAGCAACCTCACTCCGATGTGAGTCTTCTTCCTTCTGACCCGACCTCTCGACAACCGCACTTTTTCTCTACATACACAATTAGGGGAGCGGTGCACTTGGACACGGTGCATTTGGACACAGCCAATCACAGCACCGTGTGATTAGAGACATTTGTAGGGTCCCTTGGAACAGCGACTTGGACTGTGTCCAATTGCCCCGTGTCCAACTGATATACACCCCACAAATAGTAGGGCCACGCAGGCTCGCGTCCTATTCGCCTCACGGCTAGGACGCAACATCCACCTGCAGCCGGGAAGCCCACTTTCGGCTTCTTAACGACTTTCCAAATGACAGACGATAAAAAATCGTCACGTCACAATATATATATATATATATATATATATATATATATATATATATATATCGCTTCACAGTATTCACTCTGATACTGTCATATCATCAACAAATCTTTATAAATCAAATAATTATTTAATAACTCCTCATGTCTTAACGGCATTTAGGTAACTAAGATTTGTCTTCCTTTCTCTTTGTTTAATTATAGTACATGGTTTTCTCTTTTTTTATATTTATTTAGATTTGTATAAATTTATCTTTCTCCTCGTCAACATCTTTGGGGAGACTGTTTCTTTCATGTTAGTCTACATTGCATCCTCTATTTAAGCGTTTGTTGGTTGACAAGGATGCGCCGCGTTGACCTTAGAAGGGAAGAGCATTTATCTTCATTGCATTTACGTTTTCGACATCTCTATTGATCCGTTGATAACGACATTTAATTTAATTGCGTGCGTCGATTGATTGCGTTTTTTATTTTTTTATTTCTATTCAATCTTTGTACATTTGATTAGTACTACTTTTCAAACTTTTACTGAAAAGGACCCAAATCAAGTTAAAACGTATATAATGTTGTAATATTGTAACTATATATATTTTTTTATATAAATAGCACTACCACATTTGTGCCTAGCTCTTATAGACTGCTTTCTTCTTTTCCTTTAATTTGATTTATATCTTAGAACCAATTCTTTTCTCGTTTAACTTTTAATCATGTAAAGTTGTTAAATTATTGCAAAATTAGCATATTACTCATATTTTCTCATTGCATTTTACGAGTATTTATGAGTATTTATAAGAAAGCACTCATTTTATAAGTAAATATGAGATATTGCCTGAGAAATTTTATGAGATATTTTTTACAAATTATGAAAAAAATTTTCTTACAGGAATTATTATCATTATTATCATTATTATTATCTTTATCTTTATCATCATAATAATCACTATCAGTATCGTTATCACTAGCTTTATGGTTATCATCATTGTCGTTATCACAATCGTTATCACTATTGCTATGGTTATCGCTATTATTATCGTTATCACTATCATTATCATTATCATCATTATCATTATCATTATTATTCATATTATTTATTATTATTATTGTTGTTTTTATTATTATTATTATTATATATTCATATTCTCGCATAAAATACAGAAAATATTAGCATATACGGGACAAGCTAACATCAGAAATGTTACAAAACAGGTTAACGCTCAGCTACAAATTAAAAAATATCGTAACTCCAATTCTTGACGAAATAGACAAAGTTTTTTTCAAACGCTTGTTTCGACGACTTGTTTCGAATCTCGAAACAAGTCAGACGAAATGAGTATCTTAATTTCATCAAAAATTGAAGTTAAATTTTCTAACTTGGCAGATGATAAGTTGTTTGAGCTATCAGAGATCCATCTATTGGAATATTATTATATTATGTTTTCTTAGGTAATTTAGTTATGGTACATGCATTTTAGAAACAAATGTTTCTGTTCCAGAATTTGTAATAATTCTCGATCCTGTTAAGATATCTATGATATCATCTAACACATCCATAATGCCAAACAAAATACTAGATAATAGAAAGTACCAAAAATATAAATGACACCATCAAAGTTAAATGTTATTTATTAAATTAAAATAGAATACGAACTAGAGTATTTCGCGTATTCTGAAAAGAAGAATGGTGTGGTAGATGGTATTTTTCATAGCACTATAAAATTTCTCCTCTTGTCTGTAGAATGAACGGCAAAGATCGGATAACGAGACATTTGCACAAACGCGCGACAGTAGATCCTCGGAAAACTACATGCATGTTGTACTTACAAGCAGACCATCAATTTTTTTCACGATATGGTACGGAAGAAGCCTGTATCGAGGTGATGACGAGGCATGTGCAGAGAGTCAACTCTATCTATAAACATACGGGTAGGTTATTCTCACATTGATTTTATACGTATGTATGATAAAAAATGATATAATATATTCGCCAAGATTTAATATATTTGCTTTTTGAGAAAAAGCCAGTAAAAGTTGAGAAAATTAATAATTACTATAAAATAATACGGAAAATAAAAGACGAAAAACAAGCCTGTGAAATAGTAAGCGAATAATTTATTATTTAAACAAATTATTTATTTTTAATAACGGAACTAAAGAAAAAATATTGCTACTCTGTCTTTTTCCAGATTTTAATCAAGATGGACGACCGGATAACATCGGTTTTATGATAAAACGCGTGAAGGTGCACAGCGAAGAAGCATTAAGAGACCCCAATTATCGTTTTCCGGGCAATTATGGCGTGGAAAAATATTTAGAACTTTTCTCCGGTAAGAATCTGTTATTCTTTGTAAATATCAATGTGATGATATGTCAATAAAGGCCGATATAATAATTTAACTGGACATTTACTTTGTTGCAGAGGAGGACTATGACACATTTTGCCTAGCTTATATGTTTACATATCGAGACTTCGAAATGGGAACTTTAGGATTAGCTTGGACGGGTGATTTAAAAAACGCTGGCGGCGTGTGTGAAAAAAACGGGGTAAGAAATTGTGGCGTGCAGAATTTAAATATATAAATAAATATATTGTTGACCCGAATATATATTTATATATTATTATATACTATATTATTCAATATAATGCGACATAACCGTTAACAAAAATTAACTAACGAAATAACGCACATTACAGCATTACCGTGGTAGCATGAAGTCCCTGAACACTGGTATAGTTACCCTATTGAATTACGGAAAGCACGTACCGCCTGCGGTCTCTCACGTTACTTTAGCTCACGAGATTGGCCATAACTTCGGCTCGCCAGTATGTATTCCAACCTCCGTTTCTGCATTTATACGTTTCTACGCACAACAGCATATAACAGCAGATAGCACATGATATCCTGAGAATATTCTGAGAATATTCTGAAAGTATGAACTCTAATACTTCTGAAAGTATCACATCTGATATACCTAGAATATACTCTATACATACTATGATATACTCAGAATATACTCATTACGTTCTTATGTCCACAGCAATATTGTTTTCAGAATATCCTTAGAATATCATCCATGATATTCTGAAAATATACGTGAAATATTCTCAGAATATCAGAATGGCAAATATATAAATTATTATTAACACAAAAGCATACACAAATACAATCATATTCACTCCCATATAATTTAATATTTGATGATTTTGTTAAAATAATAAAAAAAAATTGGTATATCATATTTTGCGACGCTTCGCTTATGTGTTTCTGCGTAGTTTCGAAAAGTAAAAAAAAGAAGTCAAGTGTACGCGCGTTAGCATTATTTACGAAAATTTGTTATAAATAAATTTTACAAAAAAAATCGTTATAAATAAACTTTACAAAAAAATCGTTATGAATCAAATTTACGAAAAAAATCGTTATAAATAAATTACAACAAAAACTCAGACAAAAAATATTTGAAATAAATTTTACAAAAAAAATCGTTACAAATAAACTAAAAAAAAATCGTTATAAATAAACTTTACCAAAAAATCATTATAAATAAGCTTTACAAAAAAAAACTCGTTATAAACAAACTTTACCAAAAAAATCGTTATAAACTTTACAAAAAAAGTCGTTAGAAATAAATTACAACAAAAGCTCAGCCAAAAGGTATTTGAAAAAATATTGTTAAAACAATCTTATTCAGACTAATTGTATTCTCGTGAATACTCTATATATATTAAAAAATATAAGACAATTTTATATTTATTACTCTTTACAAAAATAATGATATCAAGAGATTACATTCGCAAAATGCGAATGATTAATCAGTTTTTAATTTTATAAACATATGTGGTTTTGGCTATATAATATATTTATAAATTAAATATGTTATTATTGGAAGTACAAATAAGTCTCCGCCGTTTTTTATAAAAAATTGGGCATTTATTGTGAAAGAACGGTACCTTATGTTTTATTCAAAGTATTGTCCATCGCTAGCCACTACTTTTTCTCATCTTTCTGGCAGTATACAGATACCGCGTCGGAAGAACGCTTTATCTTTTGAGACTATCCACGAGTCGACCTAATTTTTGGTATCTCCATATGATGTGAAGTGCTGCTCAGACAGGCCGTGCGTCATCGATCGAAACAAGTGATAGTCAGAGGGAGCAATGTCTGGTGAATACGGCAGGTGGGGTAAAATTTCCCAATTGAGTGTTTCCAAATTGGTTTTGACCGGCGCCGCAACATGTGGACGAGCATTATCATACAGGAGAATAAAGGGACGTCTACATTGGAAGTAAACAGTAAGAAGTAGGAAGTAAGAATAAGAAATTAACCATTCATAGTTAATTACTCTTCTTACATTCGACTGTGGTTGGTCAATTTCTTACTCTTACTTCCTACTTCTTGCTATTTACTTCCAATGTAGACGTCCCTTAATTTTGTCGTGTCTGGAGTAGTAGTGGGCGCGTTTTTACTTGAGTGCTCGGCTCAATCTCATCAATTGTGTTCGGTAAAAAGCCCCAGTAATGGTTTCGTTCGGTTTGAGCAACTCATAATACACGACACCAAGCTGATCCCACCAAATACACAACATGAGTTTTTTTCCATGAATATTCGGCTTGGCTGTCGGTGTTGAAGCATGACCACGTGGTCCCCGTGATTTCCTCTTCTTTGGGTTATCGTAGTGGATCCATTTTTCATCACCAGTGACTATACGATGCAAAAAACCCTTTCGTTTATGCCTGGCAAGCAGCATTTCACATGTGCAAAATCGGCGTTCAACGTTTCTCGGCTTCAATTCATATGAAACCCAATTTCCTTGCTTTTGAATTCTTAACGATTTTAAACGATGTGAAATTGCTTGTTGAGTCACTCCTAATGTAAGTGCAAGTTCTTCTTGCGT